GAGGGTAAACTGGAAGTATTGCAAAAAGTATTGTATTAAAACTAGGATTGTAATGGGGTCCTACTCTAGGTCATTGGGCATGTTTTTTCTGCTTTTTCCTTTACTATTGTTTTACTCTAAACCTTGTCCTTTTTATACGAAGCCTAAATTCACTATGATGGCAAATGAGCGCGGGCTTTGTCTTTAAAGGTGAAGTAAAAAAGCGAAACTAATTGAGAGCAGCAATAGAAGAGGAGGAGAGGAGTGGAGGTGGGCCTGAATCACAAGAACATAAGTAAGGCAAGCAGCCATCAATCGCTCTGCTAAGTGACTAGTACTATTCATAATGCTTGAACTATCGCTAGAAACAGTCAGAATATTTCAGGTATCGGCGAAACATTGGCTGTTCGTTTGCCATTCTGCATGGAAAGCGCCTGTGAAAAATACCCATCTGGTATTGATCTAAGAGCTGTTAAAAAGTCTGAGAGACGGTAATGTTTTATTCATTGGTTTTTCAACTTCTCTATTATCTTATTCTTTTAGAGTTATATCATAATCGTCTTTCAAAAAAATGTGTTTTTGTTCTTCAGAAGACTTCATCAGTTTCATCAGTCTGGGCAAGAAAACGAGAAATCAATGCTGATTCACAGTCTAGATGCCTCCGAAAACGATCACTAAAGATCCACTCTGCGACTTGAAAGAAGCAAAAGTGTAATGCTCACTTCATATTGCACCAGCCGCTTGACGGCTGTACGCCGGCGCGCCTTCTCTAAGATACAGAACGCTTCGCTCAGCGGGCGCGGCCTCCGCTGCGCCTGTATTTCTTTCACACCGGTGTTTCTTTTACTTGAACAGATGGTCAACATTCTTTGACCAATAGCATGTTCATATTCCACATCATACCTGCCTTTTTCACACTATTACTGTGTATGGAATGGTGGTAAGGAGCGTTAATCAAAATGGACGATGAGAGAAAAGCCGCGGTATTAGTCGAGAATTTGAATCATTACGAATGCAGGCAGTGCGGCGATGGACCACGGCGCGCAAGCCCGGGACGTATTACAGAGAGGCCTCGAGTGCTCTGGAACCGCTTGAAGAATTCTTAAGGCGGCTCTGGCCTACCTCGACGCACGCTCCACCCACAACCGGAAAGCCTCACACTTGTGAACCGGTAGCACCCGATGACCTACTTTTTTTCCCGGTTTATGGACTGCTCTGGAACCGTCGAATTTTTTGAATTTAGCTCCGCCACCTCGCCGCACACTACGCGCATAACGTATGCCTCACTCTTCTCAACTGATAACCTCTCGCGTGATCTTGAAGTACTTTTTCCCGGTGTCTAGAGTGCTCTGGAAACGTTTTGCGAATTCTTTAAGTGTGACCTCCACCCACATCGGGGCACGCTTCGTCCACAAAGTATGCTCGCGCTTCTCAACTGATAACCCCTCGGTGACTTGAACTAATTTTTCGTGTCTGGAGTGCTCTAGAACCGTATTGGCGAATTTTTCCGAATCTGGCTTCGCCCACCTCAGCGCACGCTCCGCCCGCAACGGGAGTGCTCGGCACATTCCTACATATGATCACTTGGGGACCATAGTCCACTTTTTGGCACCTTCTGCAGTGCTTTTAGACCAAACTAAAACCTTTAATACTTTGACCTCCTCTTTAAATGCACGCCCCGCCCATTATGGCCGCAAACATGGTGACTCTTGCCAGATCTCATTTTTGTCATGGACTTTCTCGGATCTCTAAACATTTTCAGGAACCGAGTTATCCGACCTTTATGGAAAGCGCCGGACATCTCAAGTACGCCCCTCCCATCCCGGTGTGTCTCCTCTGTTTGGTCGATCAGCTCTTTGTTAACTTCTGCACTTTCCTACATCTAGAGACTGCTCTTGAACCGAGTTATGGCTTTTTTCAGTGACATCGCTAAATTTCGACGCACGCCCCGCCCACTATGGGGAGGCTTACCATGGGTCATGAGTGCTATTTAGGTTTTCCCATCGTGACCCGACCCCGCAAGCTCTTCTTCAGGTGCTTTGAATTTAGTGACAAACAGACAGACACACACACAGACGCACACACGCACGGACAAAGCCGATTATATATAGTAGATTCCTGAAGAGACTCGTTCGCTTTCCGAGAAGAGTGAATATAGAGCGCTGACGGGGAAGGACTGAATTCCGGAAAATACTTCATTGAATAGTGTCCAGCTTCCTCTTCGTAAAGTTTCGGCGTTGCTCTCACGATTGGTGTTTCTTTTGCAGGCCTTTTATAGCAGCAAGGTTGTTAGGTGGAGCTGCTTATTAATGACATGAGGCAGTTAGACCACATTTCAAAGGATCAAACGTGGCTCACTGCTCGCGAAAGTATTCTATCTAAACCTTTACACGCCTTTACTTTCCAGTATCAAGAAAGCAACCTAAAATGCTGATAGAAGAAAAAAAAACCCGCCCAGTCCAGACAGTTTTTCTGAGGTTTTGTCGCGAAACGCTAGAGATGGATGACGTATGAGGGTCTAGAGTGAAAATTTCCTGTGGCGGTTCATTGCCGATATCTAACATTTACGGCTGACCGGCTCACCAAGTTGAACGTGTGAGTGCTATAAGCTACGGCATTTAAGCCATTAAGCTGAGAGGGTAAAAGCGGCCCTGGTGGCGTAACGGATAGTGCACTCGCACGGAAAG